TATCACTAGATTAAAAAAGAATAATAATAATTAGTTAATGCTTCAGTTCTATAATAGCCTAGAAAGAGTCTGGCAACTCTATACACTTTTTTTGCAAGCTCGAAAAAAGATATATAGTTAGATAATATATTTTTTCGAATTTATTGCCCCGCAAATCAAAGATCAAGGGGGGATCGAAAAGTGAAAAGAATAGGAAATAATTAATTAAAGAAAAAAAATTTATAAGCAAATAATAGTGCGACGGTTAGAGCAAACACCATGGTCAGAAAAATAAGAAATGATAAAAAAGGTACAACATGTAAACGTTGTGGACGAGAATGCTCAACTCCTCAAAAACTTCGTGAGCATCTTAAGCGAAAAAATCCTTGCAAAGCATTACAAGATCAGAAAAAAATAGCTGATAGGGTAGATGGTCCCAAAGGGATCCCTCCAATCCCAACTCCCGCTTCTTTTACTCAAGTACCAAATCAAACTTCTAGTGAAATACTTAATAAAGATACTCCTTTCAAAAATCCTAAAATCGAATAAACTATCAGAACATAAAAAGAAAACTAAGCACTTTTGAAAACCTACAACAGGAAATACGCAGTAGACCAGAGGACTTTGATAGAAAGCGTTTTTACTTAGAAATGGAAAAAGAGGGTAATAAACCTTATACAGGTATAATTACATCAAAATGGAGTATGTTTCTAAATTCAGTATTCGAATATTTACAAAGGGATTTTGAAAGAAAAAGAGGAGGTTTTATAGATAAAAAAGGAATCGTGGCTGAAATTCGTAAAGAAATATTTCCAGAAAGTGAAAATGATGCTTATACTCAAGCTCCAACTCCTAAGGTTAACGATCAAAAGAGAAATGAAAAAAATAGACATTTAATTAGTCAGAAAGAAGCTGAAAATTGGGTTAATCCAAATGCTCGAAAGCCTGGTGAGCATTTTAGAACATGGGGAGCGAGATTGCTAAGAAGATGGAAGGAACTTGATCTAGGAGATTGTGACAGACCAGAAGACTTAAATCAATGCATGCTTCTCTGCCATGATCTTGAGCAGTATGATCCAGAAGCGGTTAGACCACCGACAAAAGAGAAATTAGAAAATAGTCCAGGATCTAGAACACAAGCTATTAGAAAAAGTAATAAATCTAAGAGTTTGATTAATAAAGAATTTGAGCGATTAGGAGAAATCAAGGAGGGACAAGAAAAACCGGA